CTTAAGAATGAGGATTTTACAAGTGGATTGGCAAGAGACCAAATGATTAAATATTGACAGTGCTGGCAAGAAGATTGAGATTGAAAAAAAGTATTACTAAAACCTAAAATAAAAAATAGCAAAGGATTAGGGAGTGAGACTACATAGCAAGAGAGGGGCTCTGTCATAAAGAAAAGATCTTTAGTTCATGGTAGACAGAAAGAGAGCATTGATGAAAGTCTTGAGCGTAGCTGTACAATGATCAGATTTTAAGAGGTCAGTCTGGTAATACGTTAAATGGGGTACAACTAAAGGTAGACATGCCAGAAAAGATAATTTAATTTGTTCAGATAAGAAAGGATGAGAATCTGCCCTGTAGCACCATAAGTATTTATCAGAAAGAAGAAGACCAGTCAAAAGGTAAGTTTAGAAGGCCAAGCTGTCTTAATATCGTGATTGCTATGCGGGGGCAATGGGGAGTATAGGTTTTATTCCTTACAGGACTATACAGGTTCAGGAAAAAGAACACAGCTATATGAAACCAATGTCTGCTACTGTCCAAATCTCAGGAACAATGGAAAACATCAGACAGCAGACCAATCATTTCAGCTGTTATTTAGATGCCTTGGAAACTCACAGGCACATTATGGAAAATTGAGTATATACAGGAGCAGTTAATTTTAGATTTACTAAAATTACATGACAGCTCTACAATAGGCTACAGTAGAGATTGGTTGTTAAAATAACTAATGGTCTCTATTACATAGGATTGAAGGGTTGATTTATGATTAGGATCATCCACCTGATGAAGGCAGCACATTGCATGCATCTTCTGTTACTGAGATTATCGTGAATGTATTCCAGAGTTCAGGATACTCTTTCTAGTTGAACAGTTTTGAGAATGACTTTGGATTAAGTGTGTAGTGAGGGGGCTCAAGAAATCAGAAGAGTGCTGGGGGTTGGAGAACATAGTCACAGGTAGGTCTACAGAGGCGTCTGATGCAAAGGAATCAACAAAGATGAGGTAAAAAAGAAATGGTAGAGAAAGAGAAGAGCTTTAAGGGAGAAGGAATTAGAGAATCAGTAACAAATCTAGAGAACAGGACAAGGAGTTATTAATGGGAAAGGATGAAGGGATGGAAGTTCTTTGTAGCTGTCAGTAGAGAAATTTAGCTTTACTGGTAAGGGATTCACAGAGAAGAGGTAAAATGAGCTACTGACTGAGAATTTGACAGGTGCCCATTTCTTCTTTCTGCATGAAATATACCCCCATCCCTGGGGATTTTATAAAACTATGGAGCCACATTTTTATATTAGTATAAATAACAATAATATCATGGTGTATTTGCAAGTTAGAAATAAATATATTTTAAATACTTATTAATATATTAAATAGAAAAAATAATACAAATATGTGAAGATTAATATAAACATAATAAACATTCTTAGACTTTTCAGAGTCTCTTAGAAATTCCTCAATAATCACTTTTTAATTAAAAAGCACAACAAAATCCTGAGTTGTTTATGTTAGGTAAAATATCACTTAACGTAATAGAATGTTTGGTAATGAGAGACCATAGTCTTGAGGAAGTTGGAGGGAACACTCTTTCCTCCAAACGAGACCCTCAGAATTACGAACCTGTGGTTTTAACATAGTGATAACTTAGTGGATAATCAAGACAAATTAATGAGTTTGTCATATACATTGAAGTTATTTTAGGCATGGCACAACATGCAAAGACACCTGACACAGTCTTGAAATAGCTCCATTATTTCTGTGAAGAGAGATTAATCCTAGGAAACAATCAGGAAATGTTTCCTTTATGGTAAAAAAAAGCTCTCAATAAACTGTTAACCCTGAGAGAATAATTTGTTAAACATTAAATACTAATTTGACTGCAAGTGATTACATAACTTCAAATAAAATGTCATTCTTTTAGCTACAGCTGCCCAGTTAGTAGTATCTGGATTTAAATATATTCTCTAACTACATGAATCAATTATATAAACACTGGCTAAGCAGAGTTGTTTCTAAATAAAACCCATGTAAGGAAATTGTTAAGCTTTCTTCTCAGTCTGAGTGAATTCTGTTTGATTTTCAGTTATCTTTTATTTTTTGATATTCTGGGTTATATCAATGTATTCAGATATTATTTATATGGCAAGAATTCCATGTTGCAAATATACATATAAATTTACATATAAAAGAAAGCAATATTTGGGGTATGCTTGCTCAGAAACTTAGAAGTTTGGGAAGAGTTGTTTGAATTTGTCAATTTTAAATATTTTTAAAGCTCAACTATATGGTGTGAAAGAAAATCTTTGCTTTAGGCTGCTGGAAACTTTCTTAAAATGTTATAAAGCAAAATCAAGAAGTATATTTTACTATATTTATAAACCAAGATTTTGCTAAGTTTAATTGTTGTGTTCATATACATTTTCCTGCTATGTGCTTAATGGAATGTAGATATCTTAATATTATTAACATTTTGAATGACTGATATTCCCTAAATTCCTTATTAGACATGCATATTTATCCTCTCTTATAGATTGATACAATCAAATTAATATTTTTGAAGGGAAACCTCTGTTTAAAAGCCTTTACAATCCTTTATGATTTTAATACTTGTCTTAAAATGCTGGATGACTTTTAGAATGGTGCAAGAATATATACATCCAGTTATTTCACAGACTCTTTTTAGCTATTCCTGTAAAATGATAAATTGTTTCTTTATTTTCTCTTTGTTTGGTGTGGGATTGGTGGAATGGTGCAAGAATATATACATCCAGTTATTTCACAGACTCTTTTTTGCTATTCCTGTAAAATGATAAATTGTTTCTTTATTTTCTCTTTGTTTGGTGTGGGATTGGTGAATTGAGTTGTTTCAGGGAAGGTTAAAGTGCTCTGGCTTCTTTTTATATGAAACAGAGCCTATTTCTTCCAGGATAATCCAAATCATTTGTTAAATGTTCATTACAGCAAGTAATTAGAGAAAATAAACTAAAACTCCCTCTCTATTTTGGGCTTTGCTTTTACTCTCTCAGTTGATTATTCTGTGTTGATATTGGCTGCTTCATCTTTTGAATTCTGGGCATTTTTTTCAGGTTCACAATATGTAGGAGTAAGTAGTTCAAGGTTTCAGAATTTTAAACACTTGAAGTGAGTTAAATTTTTTAAGGATTGTAGTTATTATCATTACATTATGGTTTATATTCTTATAATGAAAGAAAATCTATTTCATTTTCCAAAGTGAATTTGAAATTTATACTGATGGTGATTTAATTCTTTCCAAGTCACCCAATTCCACATTAAGATAACTATTTTAGNTACTGATGGTGATTTAATTCTTTCCAAGTCACCCAATTCCACATTAAGATAACTATTTTAGATGTGGTCAATAAATATTTTTTCAAATGGAAATATGCAATACAATTTCATATTGATGATAATTTGGGGGAATAAGTAGGATATAATACTTCACAGCTTATTTATACCTTATTTTAAATTCACAGTAAAGCCTCATTAGCAAAACAGAATTTCCTTCATTTTTTTTGGAAGTTTAAGGTGTCTCCTTTTGTGTAAACTAGCAGAAGGACTGTTTGCATAATCACACAAGTGACAAGAATATTCTGATAGTTGCACAAATAATGTCCTATTTCAATCTATCTATTTCTCTCTCCTCTAGTTAACTTCTTCTCCCACTGCCTCTGAGCAGCTTGCCTGTAAAACACCTGCTCTCTCCTTTGTTTCTCCAACTAACCAGAAAACACCACCTGACCCACCTTACCTCGACGGAGCCTCTGTGCAGGAGGAGTTCCACACGAGGAGGCTGGATGTCAGTGGGGCCCTGGTGGAAGAAACAGCTACGTATTTTCACACCACTGCTTATTCTTCACCCTTCTCTGCATCGAAGGGCACCTCCTCGACGTTACCGTTTCCCCATTCCACTCAACCATCAGGTTCTGGTCTATCCAGTCCAAGTGCAGCACATCAGAAACCTGGACTGACATCTGAAGCTCCGAAGAAGACGACAACTTTAACCTCGCATGTCCTTAGTCCCAGAGAAAGTCCGAGAACCTCTTCTCCTTCACCATCCTCGAGTGCTTCTCTGACGTCGCGTTCAGCCTCATACATCCCAGTCCGTATTGTCACGCATTCACTCTCTCCAAGTCCAAAACCACTGACCTCCTCTTTCCATGGCTCTTCTTCCACTGTCTGCAGCCAAATGTCATCTAGTGGGAATCTTTCAAAGTCAGGGGTAAGATCCCCAGTGCCCTCTAGGCTTTCTCTTCTCACGGCTATTCTCAAGTCAAACCCTTCTCATCAAAGACCTTTTTC